AGATTTTCTATGATTGGTCCATATTAGCGATGATTTTGATCTTTTGAGGACTATATTGCTTAGAATTTAAAAATTGCTTGACTTGAGAGTCTAATACTCCTTGTATACCTTGCGGATGCCATTTAGGAGTAAATTTTTCGAAAGATTGATATCTTGCTTGCACTTGTGGTTCACATCATCTTGATTTTGTGATTGTTTTAAGATTCATTCTAGTATTCTACACTAGAACAGGAGCACACTAGCATTCATTTGTGGGGTACATACTTTATTGATTATTGAATAGGTTATATCCCAATTGGGCTAGTAGTGCATTGAAAGCTTTCATTCTTGATAAATATGGATAATAACCTCTTTTCACTAAGTAGCCGGGATTCTAGCCTCATCAAGTACTGAACTTCTCGCACCGAAAGGTGGAGGGCCCAAACTCTAGGTTAATAATTGAACTTGCTTACCAAAAAAAAAGCAAAAGTAAAAGCAATAAAAAGTGAGGATTTCTCCCAAAAAGGTGAGAAGTGGGAAATGATTAGATGGAGGTTGTCTTGATTTGTAACCTAGTTGATTTGAGCATGTAAGTCCGTAGGGGTGTTTAAACGTCTAATGCCCTAAAGTCGTTTGGTTTGGGAGTCATTGACCTAACGCTCGACCTCATGAATCGTTAGAAAGCTTAATAGATCAACACATTGTACCATGCTTCCATCTTTGATCCTATTAAAAAAAAAAAAAAAAATCGAGTGAAAAGAATAAGCGCACTTAGAACAATAAAGCTTTAATAAAAGGTCCACTTTTTGTCTTGATGATCGGTACTAGATTTGTGTGCTAATTTGAGGGTAAGGATGTGATTAATTCTTTAGTTGGCTTAGATAGTAATACATTTGATGCCGATCCACTCAAAAAGGATTCTAGAGTTGTTTTGATTTGCATGATCATTTTCTTGATGTGTGGAGGTCCATACTTGTTTGCTTGATGTTGAGATTTTGGGAGATTTCTTGGAAATGTTTGAAACATTGCATACTTGAGGTAATTTTCTTCCAATGCTTGTTTGCAATATTGGTGTCTCTTTTGTGAGAATGAGCTTAATGTTTGTGGGTATCATTTCTGGAAACCCTCACGAGACTTCACTCGTCCACTAGGGGTAACTTAGGGGTTTAAAAGGCTTATTGCATATGCTAAGTGCAATCGTGTTCCCTACGAAAGTGGCGTTATCCATTTATTACTTTCTAGTTCATAGTTAGTTAGTTGTTCATTTCATTCCTTTATTTTCTAGTTCATTGCTAGGGACTAGCAATACTTAAGTTTGGGGGTGTGATGAATGCTGAAAAATGCGTATTTAAACCCCTTAAGCTTAGGCATTCTAGTACCTTTATCTATCTTACTTTGCCGTTTTAGATTGATTTCGTATTATTTCCATTTTCAGGCACTTATTCCGAAAGTAACCTAACTCAGCCAAATAAGAGTAGAATTGAAGTAATTCTGGGATGAATCAAAGAAATGAGCTAAGTGGAAGCAAAAGGAAGAAAAAAGTGGAATTCAACATCTTCAATCGATCTCAGATCAAAGTTTGATCGATCCAACATGATCAATCTCAGCACTTCAAGATGAATTAGAGCCATGATGACATTTTCAGAGATTTCAAAAGTTCGATCGATCCAACATCATTATTCGATCGATCGAACTACCTTGTCCTTATCCAAATGATTGATCTTATCTAGTTGTACCACCCTAACAACCACTTTTGTCCTTTTCCCAAAAATATTTTCGAAATATCTCAGATTTGTTTTTATCCAAAAAGGCGCCGCCATTGAGGATCGATCCAACTTCAGTTCGATAGATCTCAGCCATGTTCGATCGATCCAAGTCTAAGGTTCGATCGATCGAACTTCCTCCAGTGCGAAAAAGTTAAATTTCCAGCTCATTGAAAGCTGTCCTTATCCAATCATTGGGGAATATTTTGTGCACGACCCCAGCTCATTTTGTGTGTCACTTGACTTACCTATATATAGAATATGATACACTTTTTGAGGGGGATTGATTTATCATAATAGAGGCTATTCTTAGGGAGGAAGAAAGGAGGAGAAGGCTAAAGACACAAGCTTGGGAGCTCTTCATCAATCAATGAGTAGATTTCTTCCATGGAGTTTGCCCTCGAGGGTTGGAAAAGCATTACCATGAATGGCTAGAAATCCTCTTGGGGCTAGAGTTAGCCCCAAGCATGCTTTCTACATCTTGATTTTGTGTATTATTCAGGGATTAGTGTTGTAATACATATTTTGGCACTTTTATATATATAAATCTTGTTTATTCAATGATTTATATTATTTAATGCTTTCAATTGATCATTTCATTCTATCCATATGTCTATGTATGCTAGAATAGTTGTTCGTGTGTTTTTCTTTATTTCTTGTGTTATTGATGCATGTTTATGTGTATTAATGCCATAGATCTAGAGATTGTCAAAACATAATGCTTAATGGAATGCTCTTGTAATTTTCTTGATGGTTCATGCTCATTTCTTGATAGATTGTGCCTCTCCCTTAACTTAATTAGTTTAATTTCATGTCATTAGCTTAATTGTAGTGTAGTGGTAGCATAGTTGTTAGATGGGAGGACAATCCATGCTTGTTGTTTGATGTTCCATACTTTTGAATGCAAGTAGCATATGTCTCTAACATTGTGGTGTATTTGGCTTGTGAGCTTAATAAAAGGATTAATGATTTGCTAGATATATTATGCTTTTCACATGCTACTTAGATAATATATACTTAATTGTTAGATATATTGTGTTTTTCACATGTTGATTAGACAATATATACTTAATTGATCACTCTTGCTAATTGAATCAACCAAACACACACACATATATCAATATTGTAACACATATTTCTCTCATTAATCACTTGTTAAGGGTGTAGAAAAGTATTGTTTGGTGGTAACCTCTAAACCCAAGATCTCTTTCTCTTACTTACTCTTTATTACATTCAATTATTTAGTTTAATTTGCTCTCTAGTTAATCAACCAACCAACTATTTGTTTGATTACTCGACCTACTAACCCTAATAGTGATTCCACTACCAAATTCGACTCCAATCCCTTGTGACGATTCCTACTCACCCTAACTATATTTTTAGTGAAGGTAGTAGTGGCTTTTATAAATGTAAAACTTGGCCCTCGCCTTAATGCACACTCTTAAGCTTATGGTGTAGTGCAGCGAAACACCACCAACCTTGCCCCACTGGAACATTCTCAATTGCAAAGACAATGAAGCACTTTAACAGCCACTTATCTACCCTGCCTTGGACACACATAGTTTGGTCCAACAACTCAATACCTAAGCACTCATTCACTTTGTAGGTAGCTATACAGCAGAAACTCCCAACCCTCAATAGAAGGTGCACAGCCCACATCATTGCCACACTATGTTCCCTCTGTAACTCCTAACTTGAGAACCACAACCACTTGTTCTTCGAATGTGAGTTCACAAAACCGTTATGGACATTTATCCAATCAAAATGTGGATTCCACATCAAGCCATCCTCATGGCCTAACCTTATCAACTGGGCATCACATCATTGGCGTAACAACTCAGGATTCTACAACAGCTCAACCTCAAAACTTGCTCTGGCTGCTCTGATCTACAACATATGGATGGAGCGCAATAGAAGGATCTTTCAGAGGAAGTTTTAATCCCAAAACACTCTGCTACATCAAACATTGGATATGATCAGGATGAAACTCATATCCTCAGCAGTCTCGGACTCTCCATCTGCAAGGCGTGTTATTGAGGAATTGGACCTCCCTTCTTTAGTTATTTGTCCACCGACTAAACCACCTGACATAATTTGAAGGGGATTTGGGGGAGTTCACATCTTCTATGCTCACTGCATAGTGATTCAACCTATATTGGTTTCTTGTTTCGTGTTGGGCTGTCTAGGCTATGGGCTTGTTTGGGCGGTCTTTTGCTTGGTTAGCCTGGGTTAACTTTCAATGTAAAATTTTCCTTTATTAATAAATTTATCTTTACCTTTCAAAAAAAAAAAAAAGAATATATATATATATATATATATATATATATATATATATATATATATATCAAAACAATTATCTGACAAGGATATAATTACTTTGATTTAAAATTAAAATATGATCGATACTTATCTCATTACTATTGATTGATAGAACATAGAATGACACTCATCCCTTTCGATGTATCGTATTTTTTTTTCCGTAAAAGAATTTTTTTTTTTTTTTTTTCACGTAAAATATATTTATTTGTTTTTTTACTTCTTTTTTTTTTTTTTTTTTTTTTTTTTTTTTTTTTTTTGGTATTTGACAAAGATTTAGGTCGAGTGGATGAGATATGTAAAATAATTTATCAAAAATTGATGATTTTAATGTTAGATTTTAATACTTTTCTTTTTTATAAATATTTTACGACAACCAAACACCAAATATATATATATATATATATATATATATATATATATATATATATATATATATATTACATCCAAATAAACGGAGCCTTAAAATAAGGTAAACTGTAAAAACACTTGTTATACAAAAAATGTACAAAAAAATCACCCTGGCTATTTAATATATGCATTATGTGTATATAAAATCTCTAACATTTAAAAATTTGTAACAAATTGCCCCTATAAAATAGTTGGCTTAAGAATTTTTTAAAATGAAACCCCAAAATTACCCTTTTGAATGACGAAAATGTCCCTTCTAGTTTTCTCTATATTTGAACACATCAATTAGTATTTGCACATTCTATATATAACTGGAATTTACGCTTCAATTAATTAAATCATAAAGATATTTGTCATTTCATTCTTGAATATCGAAAAAATGAAGAATGATCCTTATTTGCTCAGTTTAAAAAATGTAAAATTGGTATTTTTAACATGGAGCATTTGTAATTTTTTTTTTTTTTTTTTTTTTTTTTTTGGGCACTTTACCTTTGGAATATGTGATAATAAAAAAAGCAACAAAAATATCAGTTCCGATAGAATATTTAATGCTTACCATTAAAATGCCTTGGAACGCAAAATCAATTGCAGTTTCATAGTACAGACAGGGCATATGCATGTGTAGACTGAAAATTACATACCAAAAGTTCCACTTGGGATACAATAATTGTTTTAACTCGCAAGTGCACGCTAATGAGAATTCACAACCATTATTTAATGAAGGGCATATACTATTTGCAACACACAATTTACATTGCCTGCCGCGGCCTGGCTTGGTGGTCTGAATCTGTTTCGTTAGAGATGACTAGTCCGCGGATATCCGTCGGGTAAGCGTCGGTCGAATACTCAGCACCGTACGCTCTTCCTCCGGTGATCAGATTATATGCCTCGGTGGGATGGACTCCGTCCCAAAATACGTACTCCGACCGGTTGCTACATGTAACTTCCATAGGTTCACATAATTCGTCTGTTACACTGCAGCATGGAGTGCTCACATCTGTAAAACCTGAACTCCACCAAACAAATATATTACATTAATATATTTCCACTGGTGTAATTAGTGCCAAAGTCTGCCATTTCATTAATTATAAACAAATCATGTAATATATTCCATTAATTATTACATGATTTCCACTTTAATTATATAATTTGCATAGAGATCGACAGTAATGAAAGTTGCGGAAAGCTACCGGTAGCTGCCATTCCGGAGCTGTTGATGTAGATAAATTGTGCATCAGGTAGAAGGTCGTTGAAAGAATCAACCAGAGAAACGAGGTGGGCATTAAAAATCTGACATGCACTGTCCATCATCCCAACACAGGTGTAATTAGTGCCAAAGTCTGCCATTTCTTTTGGGGCACAACCTATGTTACCTAATCCGAATATTGATACCTTCCTTGCTCCAGCCGTGTACAAAATCTAACATGTATCAACAAAATGCGTCAATTAATTAATTAATCAAATTAAGCCATTGAAATTAATTAAATGAAATTGAAGAACTGACGCTTAGTTGGAGAGAATATTGTTGCATGAGGGCCACAGCATATTCGTCTAGGGTATAGAGAGTGCTTGTTGGGTAGTAATTGGGCAAGAAGTAGTTGTTGATGTAGTCATTACTTCCAAAACCAACTGTGTATATGCACTTGTTTAAGTAGTCTGTCACTGTGGTGGAAGAAGACTCATTGCCTAGCAGTTGAGCAATGCGTGAAATGGTAGTTTGGTGATTTATTAGCTGTTGGGTAAAGCTTATCCGAGCACCCTGCAATCACATTATTATATATATATATATATTATTTGTAATTTGACATAGTAATTTTAATTATAAACTTTTAAGTATATCGAGTAGAACTGCAAATGAAACGAGCTTTTAAGCTAGGGTTAGTATACATACCAGGTTCATTCCAGTGTCGTCGCGAATGCCAGCTCCACCGGATGCATAATTCACGCCTTGGAGGATTTGCTCGCCGCTTGCTGTCGCAAAAGGTGGAATGAAGTTTTCAAAGCCCAGAAGTTGAGCTGAAAATTGAAGTGTTTGATAAGGATATGTTAATATATAATTGTATTAAGTAATTAATTAATGTTCAACATTTAGAAAAAAAAAAAAAAAAATTCACATGTGATTCATGTGATTCTTTGTACAACTACATATATGCATGGAAGAGAATGGAAAGTATGACAGTTGATTGAACAACTCTAGTTTGACTTGTAGTTAAATATGGAAATAAATGTTGAACAAAGCATTAAATAAACAGGACAAAATGGAATGTACATTTTTGAAAAGTGGTTGCAGTACATAGATGAAAAACGATGGTCAAAGTCCAGCAAAAAAACACATTTAATATAAGAAAGTTACCCAAAAAAGAGTCATTTTGTGCATATTGTGTGTGCTTGTTAATATATATATAAATAGATATAGAAATGAAGAAGAAGAAGAAGGTGTGACCAATGATATCAACGCTGGTTCGACCGTTGCAAAATCTGCCAGTTGGTCCAAGAGGAAAATCAATCCCGTACGGCCTATAATTGACTTTGGCGGTGGTGTTAAGATCATTATTGTTGCCATTATCGAACAATGAGTCACCAAATATAAAATAGCAAGGTACTTGAGGCTCTCCACAAACAAAACTTTGCCAATTCGAAATCAACAAAGTTATGAACACCACAAACCATATCCTAACCCACGAAGTCATCATATACATACATATATATATATATATATGTCAACGGTCGAGTATGAATTTGAAACTAAGAAGGAAGATACTTTTATATATATATATATGTCAACGGTCGAGTATGAATTTGAAACTAAGAAGGAAGATACTTTTATAGTAGAATGGGATTGAAGTTGTAGCCCTAAAAATGGAGTAGAGAAAAGCGTTGCTTTACAGACTGATGTGGATGGCCCTACTGAGTACGTAGTCAGTAATGGTTTGGTCATTTTCAATCAAAGCTGTCAGTGCCAGCAAAATAGGTGGTTGGATATGATATTTTGTGATAAAGTTGGTCGATAATTGGCCTTTTTTGAGTCACGTGTATAAAATTAAATAATTGTACTCTTTCTGAATTTGTATGTTAGTGATTGATTCATAATACATGTTCAAATTAAGCTAGACTTTAGCAATGGATATTATTAGATACAGTTTTATATTGAACCATCTTTCAATAAAGTTATATCAACCACAAGACATGAATTGCAATAATAGACTGCATTTTTTGTCATGTTATAAGGTACTAATTAATGCTTTTGTTCGTTATGCAATGCTTCCAAAACTTCACCATGCTCAATGAGATCGAAATTCATTTAGTAAACCATAGACAGACAAAAAAAATAAAAAAAAAAATAATAATAATAATAAAATTAGCAGTCTATTATTTGAGATAAATTTTCAATTTGATGTTGAGAATCAGCCATATATTTGCCTTTGATTTCGATGGTTCCAAGCACTGATGAAACAATGGAGTGTTGATGAGAAGTCAAGAAGGTGGGAAGAGCTTAATTAGAAGGTTGTTTCTGAAGAGCTTAATTAGAAGGTTGTTTCTGATCATCACAAGTTTTTTTTTTTTTTTTACTATTATAACCTAATATTTTTAGATTTTTGATAAATATACTTATAAAATTATACCATTCCCCCTTCCCCTAATAAAAAAATTTACATTGCCACCTCTCAGTTATGTTTTCTGGGTCCGTCCCTGTGGGCATGCAGTTGCAGTTCATGATTGTAATTCATCCTTATTCAATTAGAGAAGAGCTTAAAACAGATATATATATATATATATATATATATTGCCTCAACTTCTCCTCTGCTTTCGTTGTGATATCAAAACCTCTGTCTTGCAATATCTGCTAAAAAGTAGAGGACTTATTTTTCAGAATGGAGAAAAATGAAAATTAAAAAGCGAGAGCCATGTGAAATCATCAAGTCGTTGTCAGACGCATGTGAAAATGATTGTCAAAGCCAACAGGTTCACTATGCCGGTGGACCCGGTGGTGGTGGTGTTCAAATGATTTTTTTTATTTTTATTTATTTTTTCGGAAAATGAAGCTAATATATAAGTAAATAAAGGAGCTGTACATGTAAGGTCTTTGGCCCAAACAACCCATACATGATGGAAACCAAAAACCCAAAAGCTCAACAGATACACGGGCCAGGCCCAAAGAAATCAACAACAAACCATCAATTAACAGCTAATTAGCAGTTAATGGTGAATCTGATACAAATCCGGTGAACCGGCTTTTGCAGCAATTGAAGCACAATGGCTTCAAATCTTCAATCAGGTGTTTAAATGACTTGATTGAACAGAAGTGAATGAGAACTGTGGATAGGATAGGCCCGGCCCGCTTCCTTTATTGCCCACTACCTTTTTCCAATAATTCACCCCAAGACAACTTAGGCTTAGGATAAAATTAAAGTTTTGACAAATTATACATCATTCACTATTTATTACTCTCCCCTTCTATAAATTTATTTATGGACGTTTAGAAAATAAACTTGAATGTGAGAAGTCAACAATATTAAAAGTGTTATTTAACACGTGTCATATCTTAAGAAAGATCAAAATAATAATTAAGAAACACTGAATGGTTAACATGTGTAATTTACCTTAAACTTATATACTTCGGACTATCATTTTGTGCAACATATTTATTGAATGTTATGTTATGTAATTACTTTCATTAAGCAAATAGGGAATTAGAGACTTTGTTCAGACTAAATTCTTGAAACACCATGCAAAACATCCCTATCATACGGGTGGAGTAGTTACTTTCCCAACAATATTATTGGTTTAGAGCATCTCCAGTAGTATGTTAAGATACACTGTTATATCATCAATGTGTAAAATTATTGTGTATTTTACTCAACCTTTTTATATAGCCACATCAGCATATTTCATTTCTCCTCCCTCTTTCTCATTTCATTAACGAATCAACCTTATATTAAGTAGGTTTGTACAAATATGTGGGTCCAGGCATGACACTGGTTGATTGATATTGTGAAATATATTTTTACACAAAAGATATTAAACAACCGCTTAAGCTAAGAATAAATAATCCAAATTTTTTGTGTAAACACTGACTCTCCCCATCTCATTAAATTATTTAGAATTTCATCTCTTATGTTTATTTATATAAATACATAACATTTTATTTGAGTATTAAAGACAAACGATATATTAATTGAAATAAAAATTGAGACATAAAAATAATTATAATTATCATATTATATATATATATGTATGTTATAATTATCATATATATATATATATATATGGATTATATATATATATATATATTTTACTTTGGACATATATTATTATTTTTTCTAATTTATTTTTTATTTGTACTTTCTTTTCTCACATGTTATATATTATATGATTTTTATTTGATAATTAAAAATCTATTTTATTCATTAATTTAATAAAAAATATTATTATTAAACCTCTTTAATATGGGCAACGACTTATAATTGATAAATATGTCACTACTTATGTTAAATAATCTTCCAAATTTTAATAGTTAAAAAAAAACAATAAAAACTCTTGGTTTGAGAGATTGAAGAGGCAGGTAGCACAAGGCTTTGTTTCTAACATTTTGGCATTTTAGACTTATCGTCACAAAATTTGATTGAAATTTCTTCTTCTTGGTTTTGTTGTCAATAAAAAATTTCTTGCTCTATATATGAAAAGGATTTTCTACCTCTTTAATTATTGCACCTTTAGTCGTATACTTGTGTGGATAGAGTTGGCTATCCCATAGATACCATTTAAGTTCTCCCATAGATACTATTTATGTTAGAGTAAGAGTTTCCGGACATGTTAGAGTATTCGGAGTGCGTCACATATTTTTTCTATCTATTTTTGTAAAAATAGAATACCGCATCAACATTATTTAATAAAAAATGCTGATGTGGTACTTTATTTATTTTTACTTTTTTCAAGTGCGTGCAATGGTGTGGTACATATACCTTATTATCTCCTTTTTATTTTATTATTATTTGTTTGAGCTATGTATATACATAAATGACACACACACACACATCTATATAAATTTAGTTAGATCTGGTGGATTAGCTTGCTTGAATGTTGGTTGTACTGTGTATCCTCTGCTGCATCAAGTGTGGTAGAAATTCAGTTAGAGTTTGATGTCCGCATGACTGCTTGAATGTTTGGTTATACATAATCTACTTATATATATATATATATATATATATATATATATATATATATATAATCTACTTATATATATTCATTTCTTTCTTCTTCTTAATTATTAAAAGAAATAAGAAAATTCGATAAAAAACCAAATCGGGTTGTTCCAGCACTCTTGCAAGACCATGTATCAGACCATGAGAAATGATGACATCCACGACGATGGCATAAGCTCACTCAGTTTGTATAGTACATGATGAGGAGCTTTAAGAGGGTCTGCATCACTATCATCATTGAAAAATATATATATATATATAGAAGAAAATAAATCATTATTAGTGCTGGTTGGTTGGGCGTTCTTTGCTACTACTTTTTATGGGCCTTTTGCGTTATTTTTTTGGAAGAGATGGAATGAAGATTCGAACTTAGGCCTTTTAGTTGAATGGGCCTGCGTGTTGGCCGTTTGGTTTAGTTTATTTTCATTCCTTTTGGTGGTTTCCCTTCTGCTTTCCTTATGAGTATTGCTATTTCGCCCGCGTTAAAAAAATCCATATATTACGACCTTCACGTGTATGTTACTATATAAGCTACTTTAAAATCTAAATATATCAATATAACTGTTAACAAAAGTTGGAAGATCTTTTTTCTCTCTCTATCCAAATAAAGAGATAATGCCCATCCTCTCTCCACATCTTCTCTATGAAACGCCGTGAAACTGCAATCATCATCGGAGACATGACGGAGACCATGAATATCTACTGCTGGCGCGATCGAGCACCAATTTGACAGCCCAATTTGCAAAATTTGTTCAAATTACAATGAAATTGCATCTTTAAAGATTTGGATTTGTGGGATTTTTGTTAATTATTTTATCTCATCTTACTGTACTCTTCTTTCTCAGTATGTGTATATATGAGATATGAGAGAAAAAAAATTAACAGAAATCCCAAAAACCATATCTTAATTGCTTTAAACTTGGAAGTGAAAGAAAATTGAAAATCTTCTATTGCTAATCGAAAATCTTCTCTCTTTTCTTTTCCGTGTGTTTTTTTCTTGGGTGAAAATCTTATATGATATTAAGACAACATATTAGGATAAAAATCTCATTCAGTGTAACTAGTCTTTTAGTGGAAAAAATATTTTATAAAGAGCAAAATTTTAAAGAAAAATATAAAGATGATTAATATATAAATGAATTAATCATACGGAGAGTCAGGAGAGAAAAATGTGAAGAAGACATGGAAGAAAATTGCCGAAATAGTATTTTTGTCTAAAGAAACTTACTGTATTTAATATGGTGGGGGTTTTTTTTTTTTTTTCGGCCTAAAATATCATTTTCCTTTTATTATTATTATTATTTTTGGGCTTTGCGCTCAATGTTTTTCTTTAAGGGTAAGAATGCCCAGCAAATTGCCTAATACATAATACATACAATGATTTATAAAAAACAAGATTAGAATATGAAAATCCCCTTAATTATTAAGTGCTAGCTGCTAAATGTAGGCATTTGTCAAAGCTGAATTAAGTGGCTTATGTCAATTGGATATGTATCGGATGGAGTGTGAGCATTGTAAGCTCTTGCCGCGACAATCACATTTGCTGCCTCAGTAGGATGGAATGCGTCCCAGAACAAATACTCACTCCTCTTCTTGCATGGTATTTGTAAAGGAAGACATGGAATCTCACCATTGTTCTTCCCTCCTCCACAGCACGCACTATTCGTTACCTTGAAACCTATGATACATTCACAGAAATTCATATATATATATATATATATATATATAGATATATATAGTTGTAAACCAGCAACAATTAATTGTCATGAAACAAGAAATAATAAAATAGAGATAAGAAGTTGAGATTGATTATGTAGATACCTAGAGATGAAACATCTGAAGATGCAATAGCATAATAGTTCACATAGATGAACTTGGCGTCAGTTAGATTGGTGTTGAGGTTATCAACAAGTGATATAAGCTTACTGTTAAACAGCTGAACTGAATTGTTGATGTCCTCCACACATGATGAACCATTTTTGCCATATCTTGCAATCTCATTTGGGGTGCACCCTATTGGACCCAATCCCATTAAGGCCACCTTCCTTGCTCCATACTTGTACAAAGTCTTTTATTTCGGAAAAATAAAATAAAAACAATGAGTTATGCGAGTGATGTATATATTAGATATATATTGATTCTACGTTACGTTGCATGAATTGGTGCCTTGGAATTGGACACCAATTATGTGCAATGTATAAGAGAGTTGTACGTATGTACTACTGACCATTATTTGCTGAGTATATTGTTGAATAAGGATTTGGGCGTATTGCACTGGAGTATATTGGTGACTTGTTGGATATAAATTTGGCAAATAGTAATTGTTGATGTAATCGTTACTGCCCATTCCAACTGAATACAGGCACTTGCTTAGGTACTTTGCAGCTGAATCATTGTTTCCAAGTATGTTGGCGATGCGTGAGACTATGGTTTGGTGATTTCTCATCTGAAAATCTAGGCTGATCCGAGCACCCTACGAAGAAAATACAACGTCATCAGAATTCAGAATGTGCTTGTAATAGAATGCTATTTTCCGATTGTATGGTTATGTAATGTATGTGCATGTGTGTGTGCGCACCTGAATGCATGCATACCAGATGTTGTCCAGATTCATTCCGAATTCCAGCACCTCCAGATGCATAATTCACACCTTTGAGTGTGTCTTGGTTGCTTGCGGTTGCAAAGGGTGGAATGTAATTGTCAAAACCCAAGAGTTCAGCTGCAATTGTAGATGGATATATTCAATTATCATATTTCAGCAAATAAAATTAGTCCAAATATATAGAACAAGAAGGCTTTTGAATTTATGCAACATAATGTTCAAATTTATTATGCTTATTTATTCAATTAACATATAGTTAGTTTGGGGGTATGCACTTTTCCAAGTTATGGAGTCATGCAACTCAAGGAGGAGGTAATAAAAAAAAGGAAAATACGAGGTATAGATTTTACTTTTGGAGGAGTTTCTAATGAAAGCCTTTTATGGAAATTGTTTTTTAAGAAGTATATAAGTTTTCAATTAATTAATTTTTCTTTGGTAAAAAATTATAATAATTATTATAACGAATTGATTTTTCCGAAATACATGTAATACAACTTGAAACAAATAAATGATTGTTGCCAAAATTTGGCAGTAATAAATGGCATAAGCAAGAAAATATGATTCATGTGAAAATCATTTAAAAAAATGTTTCATGTATATGGTATGACTATGAACATTGAAAGGATATAATCATATGAAGATTTTGGTGGATGGAGGAAAGAGATGCAGACCAATAATATCAGCCATAGTTCGACCATTGGAAAATCTTCCGGTTGGTCCGTCAGGAAAATCGATCCCATATGGTGGGAAATTGACTTTAGCCAAGGTGATAAGGCCATTATTATTGCCATTATCAACTAAGGAGTCTCCAAAAATGAAGAAACAAGGTACTTGTGGCTCTCCATGAACCCAATGTTGCATGTTGCAGGAGACCAACCACAAAATATTCACCACCCACCATATCTTAACCTCACATACCATTTTCATGAAAGAGCAAACGAGCAATTGAAGGAAATGGAATTAAGGTACTAGGAAAAGATGAAGCTAGGAATCTGAGTGATCCGAAAAGAATTATGGCCAAGAACTTGAATGCAATAATCAAGATATATATATATATATATGTCTTTTGTGTGTGTGCTGAGAGAAATGAAGTTGTGAAATTCAAATCCGTTGGAATATAATATCATTGCTTTTGAGAAATGTGACTCTGCAATGTTGAATATTTGGAATAAAATATGATGGGAAGCCCATATGAATATTTGTTTAATTTTGTTTTAGTATATGATTCAAGAACATTAAATTTACCTATCATAAGCCAGCTCTCTCAGATTTTATTCAATGTTTATATATTTAAGATGTATTTTATTAGTTTTTATTAAAAAAGTCACACATCGTGCTCGATCGTGTAACCACAACATTCTAATAGTTGGTTAAATCAATATACAGCCTTTGTGATTGACATGATTTGTAATCATAGATTTAACAACTTGGCTTGGCTAATTACAGAAAAAAATTGCTAATCTAGTTGAGGACTTTTCATGAATTCAATTGGCTAGATATATAATATGCTTGAAAATGAAATATATAGAGGTCTAAACGTGCAAGAAAGTGTCACAAGAGACGGTGCAATGATGTGGGCATAAATTAGAGAGAGATTATTTGGTGGAGTCAACTGCATGCTCATGTCACTAGCTAGAGGAGGTTGCACTTTCAGTTGGGATTTTAGCTGATATATATATAAAATAACACCACCCCCAAAGTCTGATGATCCATAAAGTTTTGAACCACCGTGTTATCGAGCTGGGATTCCTCATGTCATGATGTTCTGTCACATTTAACGAATCTCAGTCTTAATTTGTACACGTAGAGATTTACACGTGTGAGTTGAGATTTGTTAGATGCGATACAACACAGTAATATACAGCAAAAGATTACATCTCTCGCGTCATTACATATATGAAATTGTATGTATATGTGCGATTGTGTGCATATAGCACACTCAATTTCCCAATAAATTGACTTTGACAGAAAATTATTCTTTACTTATTAGGCAGATCACCTATCCTCCTTTAAAAAACAACCGACTTCCCAAAAAAAGGGGATAGTTTGGACTTTTGATCAATTTACTTGGTAGTATCAATTTAACTTGTTTCTTGAATTGCCGTTGTTGGAAAAAAATTCTCAAATCATAATGTTCATTCAACAATTATATACACACACACACATATATATATAATATCATGCAACTTAGAAAATAATTGGCTTATTGATTTAATGCGAATTTCTACGATTTCTTGAGCATAAACACATGGAATATCTATCCCTCGATTAAAATAAAAAAACCCTTTACCAACAAGAAGGAAATAAGATTTGCATACACCAACAAATTGTTATAAAACATTATGACGCATCTTTCAAAGGTAATAGAAATAACAATAAGAGCAATTAATGATGGAGAGTCTGAATCGGACTCCCAAAAACACACAACACTGTTAATACACCACACTTGCATATCCAATGTAATTAATAATCCTAAAGAGTGAAATCAGTAGTCAAGAATGAGAAGATGATCAGGTGATTGATTCTTCTTCCTTTCTTGAAACTACTTATTTGACACAGGACTTGAGAGTGCAACGCAACACTCGTGTTTATTTTTTTTTTAAAAAAACATACATACATAACATGTAATAATTAAATAAGCCACCATCTTCAAAGTTGAGCTAAGCGACGAATATCATATGGGAATGAATCCGAGGTAGAGCCAGCAATATAAGATCTATTCCCAACAATCTCATTTGCATGTTCTGTTGGGTGAAATGCATCCCAAAACACATACTCATCCCTATTTGGGCAAGGAGTTTGTAGAGGAAGACATGTAACTTGACCATTGTTCCTCCCTACACCGCAACACCCCGCATTTGTGACCTTGAAACCTAAAATCAACACAGCAAGGATAACCACTTAAAATTACTACTCTTAATCTATATTCATACCCTAAATGCAGTCGTGATTACACATGGATTTGTGAGCTCCACTGCAAGCTCACAAAATCCAAGATGTGTGTTTGTTCGGGATTATGTTTATGAAAGCATATTGACATAATATTTGGAGAGTATTTACCATTGGTTGAAGGATTGTTGAGTATGTCCTGAAAAATATCATAAGCGTTGATGTAGATAAATTTGGCGTCAGTTAGGTTCTTGTTTAAGTCCCTAACAAGAAATTTAAGCCTCCTATTGAAAAGCTGATTTGCACTGTTGATTCTTTCTACACATGAACCATTTGCTACTCTGTTCTGGGCTATTGCATTTGGGCTGCACCCAATCTGCCCCACTCCAATCAACACAAATTTCCTTGCTCCATAGTTGTACAAACGCTAGTTGTATCACAAACACCATAAAACATCAACAAAAATGCTATATATATTGATAATAATCACAATGTCAAGCAGGTTCTTTTGGTTGTTCCACTTTTTCACAGCTCTAGAGAAAGTATTTTTTTGTGGACATTAGCCAAAAAAAAAAAAAAAAAATTAGGTTATTAGAGAATTTTTTTTTTTTTTTTTTAAAAGGTAAGCTGTACTAACCGTTACTTGCTGAGAATATTGTTGAATAAGAACAATAGCATATTGTTTAGGTGTGTATCTGCGGCTGGTGGTGTAAAATCTGGGCATAAAATAGTTGTTGAGGTAGTCATTGCTGCCGATTCCGACCGAATGTATGCATTTGCTGAGATGTTTTGCGGCAGAGTTGTTACTTCCCAGTATTTGACGCACTTGTGCTACTGTGCTTCTGTAGTTTCTCACTTGCCCATTCATGCTAATTCGCGCACCCTTAAATTCACAACATACATACATTATATATACATATGTATATGTATAAATTAGTAGCATATATAAAATATATATATATAATTAATGATAAAATGAAGTAAATTTAATTAAGAGTGTTATATAATTACCAATTGATATCCAGTTTCATCTCTGATTCCTGCAGCTGCTGATGCATAGTTCACTCCTTTGAGTAAGGCTCGACCCCTCGTGGTTGCATAGGGAGGAATATAATTTTTGAAGCCCAAAAGCTGAGCTGTAAATTAGGAATTAAGCTTGTTACTGACTTTGTTTGCCTAACCTTGGAGAAATAGTACACAACATACATAAATATGCTAGTTTTATTCTATTAGATATGCTATAGTTTGTAATTAACCGAAACTATATAATAAGGACCATCTAATAACCTATCATTATTCAGATCTAGTATTTTTATCAATCATTTTTCAGTTAAGAGAACTTTGTCACAAATACTATAACTTAATAAAAATATACATTAGATATATATATATAAATCTTCATCTCAAAAAGTTGAAAGAGCCAAATAACCAAACAAAGCAATTTTGCAAGTATCGTTACCCTTTTTTTCGTTTTTTTGGGCGATAGGTTTGTAATGTAAAGTAGCATGTTAATAATTACTACCATAAAAAGGCGATCTCTCCTCCAGTTTGGAGGGGTCCTATGCATCCAACGAGCATTTTTGATATATAAGCGCAAAACTCAACACGGGTCCTAAATTAGGACTTTGTCTGACCCGCTTTGCGCATTATGGTTATACACCAAAACAAACAACAGGATTTTAATAAACAACACCAATACATAGGACCCATCAAAATCAGAGGGGATACTGGTCCCAAGTAGAATCCAAGTATCAAAAGTCATTATCTTACAAAATGTGAAAAACATCATGAAAGTGAGAGAGAGAAGTGTCTAACCAATGACATCAACAGTAGTTTTGCCATTAGAAAACCTTCCGGTCGGACCCTGTGGAAAGTCAATTCCATAGGGCCTGTAATTGGCTTTGGCCAACGACACAAGATAATTATTATTGCCATTGTCAACCAACGAATCACCAAAAATGAAGTAACAGGGCACTTGGTTTCCTGCAACCCCATAACCCCAACTCAAAACTACCATCATCATCACTAAACATTTCTTTAGCTCACCACCCATTGTATTTCCAAAAACAAAGAATAAAACAAGATGTAGATACAAAAATATAAAACAGAAATATTAATTTAGAGATGCAAACATTACTAATGGTGAAGTGATGAGAGTGTGTGTCTGATGAAATCAAAAGCTAGCTAGAAGAGGTAATATATATAGAAGGAAGATAACGTAATATTAGATTAATGATATAGTAGTTATATTTTGTACTTTTACAGTTCAGAGGTTTGTTGGAAGCATTAATTTGACACTGATGAAAGTTGATATTAAGGCCGGCCATAACGCCCTTAATGTACTTGGCTGCATTTTCAAACACCACCGCAACCGACCGCCACCACCGAAGGGTCACAATGTTCATCACAAGAATTGCACGCACCTATAGGCTATAGCATAGTGATGGAGAAGAAATTATCAAACATTCACCAAAATAAAGAACTTTAAATTCACGTAGTAGTATCTATGTGAAAGTAAAGAGTTGCAATCTTTTGAAGCCTATTGTATTAGTTATTTGTCGGAACAAAAAATATTATAAAATAAAATTAAAATTAAAAATATCAAAGACGAGTAATTAAATTCAAGAAAATTCTAAAATACTCGAAATCCGACATACTGACTACTCACAGCTGTGATAGATGGTCCATAATTTGAAGTTTGGGCAATCTATAGTAACTCTTAAATTCACTTATAAAGTTAACTAGGAGATTGGTAGATTAAACACTTTCTTACACCACATTAATTTAATTGAATAATTATTCAGAATTAAATACCAAGTATCATCAAATCATCATATTCACTCCATGTGCCCAAAATATAATTCACTCCATTATAATTACTTTGTATCATTAGACATGGAATTAAATTCAAGAAAAATATAAAAAGTCCGAGATCACGCACAACCACGTTGTGAATAGTCAATTTGTGTCTGGTCGGGTAGTCTATCTTATCTCTTAAATTTCCGTATAAAAGCTAACAATCTTAGGTAGATTGAACAATATAAACACTTCATTACACCACATTAAAATATTAAGTCATGTGGTCCTCATGCCTTCAATTTTTCCAAGTACTTTCAACTCCTATATCGTCTTTCCCATATTGCATTGAAGACATTGATCATGATTCAAAAAAAAAGAAAAAAGGAAGAACTCTTGTTCACTCATAAATCTTAAAAGAGACACACACTGGCAAGAACATGCATCAACAGTTAAAGTAGGTATTTAGTGAGCCCGGTGTACTGGACTAATCAGAATCATACATGCACAACACGACTCTAATTAATCCGGTGCACAATGCACCAGAGTACTATTTATCTATTCCAACGGTTGAGATCGAATCATAATGGTAACCGATCCAGCGGCCTATAGCATCGAATTATCCAGCCAAATTTAAAACTCGCAGGGTCTGGGAAAAAGGTACAAACCTATTAAGCAGTGGTTGGTGGTGGACTGGACTTACCATTTAATATAGTGTTGGGTCTTGGCAACCCTATATTTAGTATACTTTACCTAAAAAATGAAAGAAGTGAAGAAGAAAATTTATTGCAGAAATAGATCTGAGCTGTCTATGTGCACTATTATGTTGATACATATTTGACATTGAGTCAACTATATATCACTTTCACGTAACTATCCAACATTTTTTTTGGTTAAATGCGATGAACTCTTCTACCTAGAGTTCAATCATAAGATTAATCCAATAGCACATTTCTTGTGATTCAAGCGCTCATCGGCATAGTGAACTAATTTTTTCTGTTGTTGTTTTAACCGCTTTTTTTTATTTTTTCATTAAGAAGAATCTTCTAATAAAATCATTAAAAAAAATTGGCTTGTTTGCAGTGGCAGAGTATGAATTTACTTCAATCTATGTTGTGTTTGAAACAATTGAATTTGGAGTTCTTGAATTAAATCCCGAAGAAATTGAGTTGTGTTGAGGCCATGATGCCTCCAATTTCAACTTTAAGTACCCACCCCGTACTCCCAAACATATCATCTACTTGTACTTTGCTTCCTTTCTTAATCATCTAATCCTAATGAAGCTCTAAAAAAAAAAATGCAGGTTGCGGGGGAGGTGGCATATAGCGAGTGGTTGAGATAGGCCACTACACGTGCAGATGCATGCAGAACACGTGCGAAAATGGACTATTCTGATGGTCTGTGCACTATGACCCAACTTGGGTACTAATGTTATGTTTGGTTTGAAGGAAGGATTGAGGAGGGATGGATGAGAGGAGTAATGCATGAAGTTTTTCGTGTTTGATTGGAGGGAAGGGAAGAAAGGAAAGAAGCAAAGAGGGATGTTCATCCCTCCTTTCTTCATGTTTATCTATCCACCCAATTTTGGGGGAAGGGAGGAGAAAGAAAGTGAATAACTAATTACAAATATAAAATTTACAATTTTAACCTTTTTTAAAAAAAATCAAATTAATATCTACCATTTATTATTTTATACCGTAAGTATATATTAATAAAAATATATAAAAACTCTCTTTGCCTTTTTTTTTAACCAAATAAAAATAAATAAATAAAATGTATCACTTCATCCATCCTTTTTGTTATTATCCATTTCATTCAACCAAAAAAAAAATAGGGAAGACAAATTTCCTTCTTTAGGGATTCCCAATCCATCTCTCCCCTTATCTCTTCCGTCCATTTTTTCATCCCTCCAATCAATCCGAGAATAAATTACTTTTCTTTTCACTAAATAAATACTCCATTAATTTTTATTTTATTATTTTTAATTTTTAACTTGATAAGAAACTCACTAACACGTATCGTAAAGGGACATTTGATAATACTCTATTAATAATTCACCCGTCGGAGACTGTAATTCTCCATGGAAAATTCATTTTTCTTTTTTCAATAGGGAGTGGTCACTATATTCTGATAACTGATTTTAGGGTTTCATTTATGAGTAATGGATTTTGTTCGGTAAAATTGGAAAATTTGAGTTGATTGACATCTTGGCTTGTGATAATCCGTGCGGACACTTGTGAGGACCAGAGAGAGAGAATCGCGCAAGGAATTACGGTTTTGTTGTTAAATTGCATTGTTATGATTACTCTTCTTTCCTTTAATTCTACAAATTTGTGAACTCAACTAGTACATTTTTTTGGATCTCAATTGCTTAATATTTGTATTATTATGTGATTTTGTAACAAACTTCATTAATTGGAAGAAGCTTGATCAGATGTTTGGTGGTGATAGCAAAGGTGCAAAAATAAATTATGGGTAAATTTTACTGACACCTTTTTAGATTTGGCCAAATATTACCCTCAAATATCTTTCGAAAATAACTTCATTTTTACTTTCTGACACTATTTCCGTTCAAAATATGTAAAAAGATAATTTTGCGCATAAATACCCTTTGACTTGGTCAAAAGTGCTCTCTAACCTAAAAAATTTAAATAAAAAGATTATAACACCTTAAATACATTACAAATTTACAATTATATATATATATATATATATATATATATATACTGAGCATGAACGAAATTTTGCTCATTGGATCCCCAGAGTGCAGAGGTTGTTCCTATCCTTTCCATCGTTCTAGCTGTCTTCACGCAATAGATCTAACAAAAGTCTCTCCTCCCTCCCTCCCTCACCACCACCGGTGCCACCGGCCACCACCAAATCTCCAATTGTGCCAATCAAAGTACCATTGGAGGACTGGAAGGAAGAAAAAGAGAAGTCATTGACCTCACAGTAAATGTAGGATAGGAAGATTGTTGCCGACGGCGACTTGCAGCAGGTACGGCGGTGAATAAGTCGCCGCCCCCGCCATTCTCACGCCGACCAATCACTGCCCAAAAGCAGCAACCAAATGTTTGTGAATGTGGTTGGGTTATGAATCGGTTCAATCAGTGAAAATTTTTTTGTTGTTGGGTTATAATTCTTAGTTCAATCTTAACTTTTTAAAGTATACACAAATTTTTTGACTAAAAGAGAGATGAAATTAATTGATTAGATGGAGATTGAGGGATTCTTTAGGATTCTGGTGGAGGGTATTATATATAGACTTATATTTATGCATTGTAATGGTAATTAGTTAATAATTAACTTAGTATTGGAATTAACTACACCAACGAGGTTTACTAGGCTTTTTATGCTCGTTTCCATGTCTATTGAGCCGATCGGTTACTTCTCTGATCGACCGTCGTGCATATATATATATTATATAGAGAGAAAGCAATGCACAAACTTAAATAATGTAACTCAACAATGGCTTGAGTTGACTTCACTACTGTGCAACTGGCAGTGATTTAAGCTTTCAGTATATATATATAATTGTAAATTTGTAAAACATTTAGGATTTTAGTATATTTCTTTAGGATAAAGTTTTTTTTTTTTTTTTTGACAAAATCAAAGGGCGTTTAAGTCATTTTATATGGTATAAGATATCTAAAGATAACCGTTGGTGTGTGAGTGAAAAACGGAATAAACGTTTATAGCATGAGTGATAGTAATTTTCGAAACGTTTATAGCATGAGTGATAGTAATTTTCGAAAGTTGTTTTAAGGTAATATTTGGCCAAACCTAATGGGGTGTTAGTAAAATTAACCAATAAATTATTTATGCTTTGTTTGGTAGGAAGAAAGAAAGAGAGGTAGAGGAAAGACAAGAAGGAACAAAGAAATTTCATTTGTTTGGTAGAGAGGAGACAGTGAGAAGAAAAAAGTGGATGGACGAATCATCCTTCCTCCTTCACAAATTTTCATTTTTAAAAATATGGGTGGATGGCTAGAAGGAAGAAATACAAGATTTAAAAAAAAAAAAAAAAAAAAAAAAAAAATTATAAAATTTTCCTTATAATCAACAATCTCTTTTCCCTAACAAACAAAATAAAATATTATCTTATTATCTTCTCTTCCATCCAACCAAATAAAAAGTGACAATGACACAATTTCTTCCTTAGAAATATCTCATTTATCTCTTCTTCTTTTTATTTTATCCAATTTTCTTCTATTCTACCAAAGAAAGCATTAGAGTCTGTTTGGTATGTGTTTTGTTTTTGATATTTTTGTTTTTGTCGGGTACTGTAGCAGTAACCAGTGGAAAAAATATGTTTGGTAAAAAAATGTTTTGTTTTGCACAGTACTGAAATGTTTCGTGAATAATGAGAAAAATAAAAAATCAATTTGTTATTTTTACAAGTTTTGTAACAAAGGGTATTGTAGCGATGAATAATAATTTTTTTTTTTTTTATTTAAAAAAAACTCTTAAATAACATTTTTAAACTAATTATTATATTTTTCAAACCTACAATAATTTTTTTTATCAAACATGTTTTCATATTTTTGTTTCGAAAAATCTTTCAACAAATGGATTTTATCAAACATACTTTCGATTACTATTCAATTTTTTTTTTTAGTTTGTTTCAAGTTAAAATAAAAATGCAAAAACAAAACGAGCACCAAACATGTTCTTCGACAATGAGAGCAAGGGCGGATTTAGGAATTGTCAATGGGGTAGGCTAATATTTCTTTGGGTGGGCTTAGTAATATGTTTTTTTTTTTTCTTTGGTCTGGGCTAAAATTGCCTATAAAATATATATATATATATATATATATATATATATAGCCTGCTTGAAATTCATCAAGATTCGGATTTTGAATTCAAAAATAGTGATTTAAAAACGAAACAGACTAGCCTTTAATATTAAAGCAAGAAAAGGAGGGTGGATCAATTGATGCTCATTTAGGAGAAAAGTGATGCGAAAGCTCTACAAATTAGCAAAAGTCAGCACCCATTTTCGGAAGATTTCCAACCTTTCTTGGGACACCTATTTTGAAGTCGAAAAACGGATTATGTCGCGCACAAAAAGAAAGAAAGAAAATACGATGAAATCGAGACACATAATATCGTATGAAAGCGAGTCGAAGAAATTGCGAAAGCAGTGGACCAAAAAAAGGAAGGATCACACAGATTCTCTGAATTGACTGTTTTCCACCGAGCATGAAATTAGGAACCAGAAACAAGGCTCACAAACAGAGCGGTATTCTCCCTTGACAATAACCAATAGGAATTATAGATATATATATATTTATTTTGAACCCACCCCTAAATCTGCCCTTGAGTAAGAGAGAGGGGTGTTAAAATAATTTGTCAGTTTGATTCGATCCAATCCAATTCGTACGAATCGGATTAGTTTTCTAGTCTAATGATTCGGTGATGAATTGAAAAAACAGCAATTCGTAGTGACCGAATCGGTTAACGTATTGAATTCGGAAAAATTCGATCTAATCCGTAAACCAAATCCGATCCAATCCCATATATATCATAATATATAGTATATACTATGTAATTATATACATAATATATTATTTACTATTATTTAAGTATTTTTTTTTATCCTTTATTCAGTTTTTTGTTTTTAAGTATTGTTTTATTCTTTATTCAGTTTTTGTGTTTTTAAAGTTTTACCAACCCTTGGACTTACCATTTCTGCCTTCATTTTCACTTCCAATACGGCAGTACAAGCGCATCTCAAGGCTTAACTCTCATCGAGTTATCCAAGACCAAATCGACCGATATAACGACGCTCTCTTCATCTCCAATCTCCATGGATCTTGTTCTTATTCTCTTCTCTGAACAAATTTTCTTTTTCTTTAGAGTTTTATGTATGTATGTTTAACTATTATGTTCTTTTTGTTTAGGGTTTCATGTATGTATATTTTTCTTTTTGTTTAGGGCTTTATGGATGTATATTTTTCTGTTTGTTTAGGGAAAGTAGTTGTTGATTCTCTGAATTTATCATTTTCCTTTTCTTCTTCTTATCTGCTCTGAACAGATCCCTTTCATTTCTTTTCTTTTCTTTTTTATTTTTCGTTTTTTCTGATTTTGATATTTAGTTGATTGATTCAGTTTGGAAAATACCTAATCCTTAAAACCGAACCAATCCAATCCAACAATATTTGACGAATCGGCTTGGTTCGGATTGAGATATTCCACGGATTAATTTGGTTTTAAATTTAACCAATTTGTAGGAGATTAAATTGTATTTTATTCCTAATTCAAAATGATCCAATCTTTGGTCACCCTATTATTAATTTGGTGGAGTCAATTGCTCATGTCACTAGCGGGCGGGCCTTGACCCAAAGCGGTCGCCTACGGCTCAAAATTTATAGGCTCAAGAATAATGGGCCACCCAAAAAAATAAAAATTATAACCAAATGCACCGTATCATTTAAAGGGCCTCAAAATTTATAGGTCCATGAATGATGGCAAAAAAAAAAAAAAAAAAAAAAAAAAAAAAAAATTGTAAACAAATGCAGCAAATCATTTAAGGGGTCTCAAAAAAAAAAATTGCACTTTTATAATATATATTTTTATTTTTTGCCATGTGAAACTTATGTATAGAGGGCCTCACATTTAATATTCGCCTAAGGCCTCTCAAGATTTTTTCAATCTCAGAACCAACCCTGCTAGTGATGATGCACTTTCATGAAGAATTTTGGTAGATAGAGAAATAACAACATCCAAAGTAGGTAAGGTATGCTTTAATGGACGATTGCATGCATGCATGCACCACTCTGTGGTGCTGTTAAATTTATCTAAATTAGAAAATTATTCAAAATGAACCTCGTAAAAGAATATATTCGCTAAGCCTTTATTGATGGGCTTGCTTTTACTATTAATGGTGCATTGTGACTTAGAAAATGATTCACTAATATGATTGAGTTGTGATACAACATGTTCAAACGTCTGATGTCAGGTATCGAATTGTACTTATGTAAGTGAAAGACGCCATCCCTGCTATTTCTGTCTTTCGAAGGTTATATATATCATTTTTCAATTTGACTTTTGTGACTTGCATGTAAACAATGAGAACGTACATGTATATCTCTTATTAATTGAAACTCAAGAAGATCCTTTACCACCAAGTAGAAAATGGTTTTATTCAAACATTAAAGTTGCAGTACAACCATACAACACTTCCCTCCAAAGATGACAAGAGGAAGCATATATATGACAATAATCCTAAGGACTAGAACGAACAGCTAACAATCACACCTAGCTAGGGTAACAATGGTGACTGATTTATTTCCCTTCCTTGAAACCAGTCTGCAATTACCCTACACAATACACAAACTTGGGGATCTAAACTTGCACACCTCACTACTTAGAAAATGACATACATGCAACAAAAGTACTAGCAAGTAAGACAACTGGTTAATTGGCGCCAAACATCAAAGCTGAGCAAGGCGACGAATATCATATGGATATGCATCCGAGGGAGAGGCAGCAGTGTATGATCTCCTCCCAACGATGACATTTGCAGCATCTGTTGGATGAAATGCATCCCAAAATATATACTCGTTCCGGTTTTGACACGGAGTTTGTTGAGGAAGACATGTAACTTCGCCATTGTTCCTCCCTACACCGCAGCACCCAGCATTTGTGACCCTGAAACCTGAAATATTTAACACTGAAAATATAAACACTTTGTATGTGGTAATTAAATACACTAGCTTATAAAAATGCGTATGTATATCTAGCCCGCTTTAGACCTTGTAATGGCTGGAGTCTCATGTAAGTCCTTTTTAGGTAATAAACAAACTTATGTATGAGAGGAAGCATGTGAGAAAATTTACCATAAGGATTAGGATTGTCTAATAAACTCTGAAAAATCCCATAAGCATTAATGTAGACAAATTTCGCCTTAGGTAGATTCTTGTTGAATTCAATAACAAGATTTTTAATCTTGGAATTGAACATCTGGTTTGCACGGTTGATCCTTTCGACACATGAACCATTTGATACCCTGTTCTGGGCTAATGCATTTGGGCTGCACCCAATCTGGCCAACTCCAACCAAGGCAAATTTCCGTGCTCCATCGTTGTACAAACTCTAGTGCATGTCACAAACAGAATATTTGAAAAATAAAGAAAATTTAGGAAATTAATTATGAAAAAAAAAAAAAATAGAAGATTGAGAGCTAGCAGTAGTACTGACCCTAATTTGCCTAGAATATTCTTGAATAAGAACATTAGCATATTGTGCAGGTGTGTATCTGCGGCTAGTGGAGTAGAATCGGGGCATGAAATAATTGTTAAGGTAGTCATTGCTGCCGATTGAAACCGAGTGCAAACACTTGCTCAGATGCTTTGCTGCAGCAGCCTCACTTCCCAGTAGTTGACGCAATTGTGATACTGTGCTTCTGTAGTTTCTCACTTGCCCATTCATACTAATCCGAGCACCCTTAATTAATTAAATACATACATACATACATACGTATATATAAATATATAAGAATTCATTAGTAACATATAACATCTATGTACAACGATAGAATGGAATAAAAGAGTGTTATATAATTACTAATTGTCGTCCGGTTTCGTCTCTGATTCCTGCAGCTGCTGATGCATAATTCACACCTTTGAGTATGTCTCGACCCCTTGTTGTTGAATAGGGAGGAATGAAATTTTCAAAGCCCAAAAGCTCAGCTGTAGACGAGAAAATAAGCTTTGTTAATTACTGAGTTATTTTCCTTAGAAACCATCTAAATTTTTATTAATGGTTTGGCTATCTTGGAAAAATAGCAGACACGACCATCAACTTATTCTTGTTTTAGGAACAAGTTAGTCATGACATGCATACTTCAAACCATTTTGGTTTGAAAATAGTATTTTTGGAGTTTGCTTGAAAAAAAAATAAAAATAAAAAAAAAGACAAACAAACAAACTTTGTCATAAATGGTTTGAAATAGCTTGAAAAAATAAAATAGGTAGCATTCATTGCATACTAGTAATATTGGCAACTTCTTCCAAAATTAAAATTGAAGAGTCACGTGTCTAGAGGGAATTAGTTTCATCCAAAGAAGGGACGTAGACAAACCCCAAAAAAGAATTAAAAAAAACATTAGCAACTATTATAATAGTAGCAAATACTATTGTGTGAAACTTAAAATAATTTGACTTGGGTTCTTGTAAAATATCTATTTTGAAAAAATATAAGAAAAATAACCATTTCAGAGAGAGAGAGCGAGTATTACCAATGACATCAACAGTAGTTTTTCCATTAGAAAACCTGCCAGTAGGTCCCTTGGGAAAGTCAATCCCATAAGGCCTATAATTGGCTTTGGCTAAAGAGGCAATGTTATTGTTATTGCCATTATCAACCAATGAATCCCCAAATATGAAGTAACATGGTACTTGGGGTACTGCATCAGCCCCAATGTTCCACTTACTCAATACTACTATCATCACCACAAAAACCCCCACCCATTTCTTAATCTCACCACCCATTGTCCAAAACACAAGCCCTATTTATGTGTGTGTGATATGATATGATAGTGAACCAAAAGAAGTGATAGTTTGTGTGTGATGAAAATCAAAAGCTAGAACAAGTATTTATATAGGAGCAGATCGAGATACTACTACTTAATATGAGATGGATTGACCCTAGTTTAAATTTTACAGTTGAGAGGGTTGTTGGATGCATTCATTTCACACAGATTAAATGTGAGGTCAAGCCCAAAACGCTCTGAACATATAGTCAACTAGTTGGTTCTTTCACTTATCATCAATACTGCAAAATGATAAATGAAGTATGATTACTTGGTTCAAAAATACGTTGCAAGATATACAGTACTATTAAGTTCCATACTTCATTATATATTAAGAGTACATGTTCATCACATTATATAGGGGGTTGGAGTCCCAACGTGAGCGATGTGTATGTGAGTACTTAATTAGAATAATAGATAAAATGTGATGTAAATAGGCATATATATTGGAGTCACGTATGGGCATAAGAAAGATCATATATTTAAATTTTAAATCCCTTGCACTTTGACCACTTACATGGAAGGTATAGCTTAAAGCCTAAATGGCTAAATGGATATCATTCAAGAGATATTAGTCTGCAAAATTAGATCGATGTATACTTCCCCTTGATGGGATTTTTGTATATTCATTATATATCAATCGTTCATTTGTGAACTTAACAACACAAAAATACATTTGAAAATGTAAGTGGTAGTAGGAGGTAGTGGCAGTAAATTACAGAGTTTAAAATTAAAGAGGTCTTTGGACCATCTACTATCCTTTTAAAATAAAATATAGAGGTTTCAAGTCTCCCGGCAATGGGAGTTGCTTGTCAGAATAAAAAATAATAATAATAACAAAACATTGATATGAGCTTTTAAAGGAAGCATTATAATGATGAGGCACCATGATTGAAGCACTGTATAAATCCTTAAATACTAGTAAATTTGTAATTCTTGAATTCTTATAAATGAGCCACATACTCAGATTGGTTTGAACCGGAAAAAAAAGAGACTATTATTAATGATCATTTAACAATATGATAATGATTATAAAGCAAAATTCAATGAATGATATTGAACATGAAGAGGATATTCATTTGTCATGAATCATAAATAAATTATTTTTAATTTTGTGTTACTAAATAAGTGAAATTCCATGACTGAAACAACCCTACGTATTGCTACTATGGATTCTATGAGCATGGAAAATACCTGGGTCCAACCCGAAAATTGATGGGCAATGCCCAATTTAATTTAATATTATTTTTAGTCACGTGTCGCAATTTGATTGGTCCACGTACCCAGGTTGGATAAACTTCATGGACCCAAGTATTGTCCTATGAGCAAAATCATTCTCATTTAACCGTATCCACCCTTTTGCTACTTGAGCCATGGACACAATTGGTACATTGGAAATGGAATCAAAGGCAAAATGTAATAAATAAAATTTCTGTAACTATTTTTCATCTACAAATAACCTCTTAAACTTTTTAAAAATTATTTCATAAATTATAAGAACCGCGTCACTTAGTTATTACAAGAGTGATAAAAAGACATAATTGTCCTTACAAATGAAAATGAATTAAAATTTTGAGTAATGCAATAATTTTAAAATAACAAAATTGTACATAATTGAGTTTAAGTCCCTAAAATGTAAGGTTGAAATTGAAATAAACCCAATATTTCTCCTATTCAAGTCCCAAAAACGTATCCCTCCATATGTTGTTTTTTCACAGATAATTTTGACCACAAATTTAAGAGGCAAATTGGTCATAATATGATTAGATTTATGCTTGTTAGTAAGAAGGAATGGAGGGGGATTGAGCGAAGATAGGAAAGAAGAAACAAAATTTTCTTCATTTGGTAAAGAAGAGGCAAGAAAAGGAGATAGAGAAAAAATAATGAATGAGTTATTCTTCCTAGTTCTTGCTTCATAAATTTTCATCCCTCCAAATATAAATAGACCCCAAAAAAAAAAAAAAAAATGGCTATTATAATAGTTTTTAAATTATAAAAATTTCCTTATACTAATTAACATTCCCTCTTCTCTTCTCTTCTCTCTTAACAAACAAAATTAGTTATTGTCTCATTTTCTTCTTTTTCATCCAACCAAATAAAAAGAGTGAAAAATACAATCTATTTCATAGAGATATCTTATTCATATTTTTTTTCTCTCTCTTACATCCAATTTTTTTCCTTGTAGTAGCATTAGGGAATGAGATTGTCTGTAAAAAAAAAAATGAAATTGTATCATAAGACATGGAAATTTACCATATTACATTAAATACTTATGTACGAGTTAGTTGAAATAATGCCACATTGAAATGAATGGTTGTATTGACTCAAAGGTCAACTATATAATTGGTCAAGGCTGGGCAAGAGCATGTATCACGGTTGACAACCATTAATGAGGTAGGTCTAAATGGAAAAATATCAATAGCATTTTTAGAGTTCGAAAATATTCAGTATATTTCAATAATGCAGAGTATATAGCAGTCTCATTCAGGAAAAAATATAGTATATATATATAGCCGTCTCATTCAAGAAATCATTTTTCTTAATTATACATAGTAATTACTTCTTATTATTCAATGTAAAACCTGTTACACTTGACCATTATGATGATTCACCAACTTGCGTTTCAATATATTTTTAAACAAACACTTTGAAAAGAGACGAATTCTATCTAATCAAATAATCTCTTTAAAAACTGTTTATAAAGTAATCACAAAAATAATAATAAGTTTAATAACCCATTCGTAACATTATGAAAAGGTACCAAACCAATCAGAGTGGTGGTTGGTGAGTAGCATGAACATTAAATATAATTTAGGGTTTTGGTCAAACAATGTACCACCATGGATGTATCTTCTGCATCTACATATACGAGCATTGTGCAGAGTAGTAATTAAAGGAAGCCGTATATATATATATATATATATCACTCCCATTACCTCACCTCCTCCTCCTTCTTCCTCCACATGATTTGAAAAAGAAAATTTATGATGCAGTAAAAGGGTTGAACTGTCTCACTGCCCTACGTCCTTTGAACTTTTAATTCACTTTAGGTCAACTACGTCAATTTGAGCGGTCCTTGTCTGTATTAATGTTGATGTTTGCTAATGTACGGTCTAAATCACATCCATTTTTAAAATCAAATAATAATTAAATAATTGGGCACGGAAATAATAATTAAATAATCCATTTGTAATAATAATTTAAAAATAAAAAAATAGGAGTCTAAAGTATTCCTTCCGTCCTAAAATAATTGGGCACTTTGAGAACGTGACTTACAAATGATTTGTTACAAATGGATTTAGACCCATTCGTTTTTTAATGATTTTTTGTGAGTCTAAAGTATTCAGTAAAAAAAAAAAAAATCCATTCGTTTTTTTACGTATGTGAGTCTAAAGTATTCAGTAAAAAAAAATCCATTTGTAACAAATTATTTGTGAGTCACTTTCCCAAAGTACCTAATTATTTTAGGACGAAAGGAATACTTTAGACTCACATCCGTAATTATAATAAACAACAAATCAAAACCCACTCATAACTCGAGTGGGTAAAAACACAATAACTAAATGAAAAATAATAATAATAAAAAATTATAATTGAAAGTGAATAATTAATAATATCTCTAAAAAGCAATTGTCACTTTATCCTAAGAAAATTTCGAAAATTAGTAAGTGTCAACTTTATAAAGCATTATTTATATGATGGGAGATGTCTTTGCGATCGAATCACCAAGAAGTCAAGACACACTCTCAACTCGGTACAGCTCTCTCATCTAAATAAGGTCTACTTTGTATAATAGTTCTCATCGTATATTCATTACTAATTAATTATATGCTTTCATTTCTTAATTCATGAAATTATTGATTTTGATTGGTGAATGAATATGAATCATGAACGTTTGAGCTATAGTAACGTCTTGATTTATCGTAAATCTATTGAACATCGCATGCCTATAATTCGCTTATTTATTTATATGATTTTCATGTTTCATACTTCTCTATTTTTTTTATTTGTTCTTTTTTAAGGTATGTTTTGGTTTGGTCTTTTAGTGATCATTTCGAGTAGAAAGAACCAATGAAAAAATGTTGCATTTTAAGAGAATTGAATTGGTGTCTTGAATTTAAAATTTGAATAAATTTAGTTCAAAATTTTAACTAAATTTTTTTCAATTTTAATTTTATACAGTCAATTCGATGTTCCAAACATAACATTAGAAATTTTGTCATAAATGAACTATTGATACTGTAATGATACTCTTGATTTGCACTGAATTTTAAATATGTGAACTCAATTACGTTGTTTAATTGTTTAATATTTGTGTTTATGACTTTGTTTGATGTGCTTCTTTATGTTTCTTAATTTGCTGGTATATTTTGCTTGATTACTTGAATTATTTATACTATCTATTTATGAAATATGATTTGAGGTATAATAGCATATCATTTTTTGAAAATCCAATTAAGGCGTGTAGCTTAAATGATATTTCATTCCGGCCATTTCAAGACGAAAGATGAAAAATTCAAGCTTATCATAAAATATAAAATAAATCAGAAGTACTAAATGAAGATGAATACAGAGAGAATTAAAACACAAAAGTTTGTCACAATACTTGTGTAAACTATGAAACTCAAATTTAGATTTGTGAACCTATTATTTTTATTTTTAGTATTATTTTTTAACTAATTAAAAAGTATTATAGACAAAAAATAGAAAAAAATGACACGAGGGAAGGGGTTTATCCAGGGAATAACTAAAAGGCCCAAAGGCCTACCCTACGAAAATAAGACTATAGACAGCAGTACCAAAAGCCCAACAGAGTCCAGATCCTCAGCCAAGAATTTAAACCAAAGGATTTTATGTGGAACTTGTGTTCACATAATTTTTTAAGATTTCAGCCCCATAAAAGTTTTAGTTGAAAAATAAAAAAAATTTATAAAAAATTAATCAAAGACTGATCCTATCCAATAATGAGGATTTTCATTTTCTTTAACTTGCAATATGCATTTATAGGATTTAATTACTAATT